GGTTTTGTAATTTCATTCGTTTATTAACAAATGGCAATAAACAGTAAAAAGTAAGTTGAGATGTGAAATGTCCTTGTCGTTCAGATAGTGAGGTTAATTTCAGGCAGATTCAGGTAACAACAGGTTACAATAACTCGAATGTATTTTTAAATGGATAAAATTCTTTTAATAAATTGAGGTCAACTAGGTGGTCAGGGTAATAGATCTCAAAATGCTCAAGTGGATATTATCTAATAGGCTCAACAGGGTTTGAATACACCTTCATAGAGACTTTGAAATTGCCCTTTGTACCTAATATGACAGCTGACCAACATTATAGTGTTACAGTTTAAATATCCAGCACAGTTCATTACCATCTCTATGTGTGCTAGTTCACAACTTAGTGAAAGTAGTTCATAAATAAGTTATCCACAAGGTCACCAACTATGCCCGAATGTTAGCACTTGAATTTGAAACAAGTTGGAGATTAAATGGCTCTTCTAGTTCATTTCCACTACACGAAAATTTGAGGTGAAGCAACAATTTTAGGATTGGAATTAACATCATCTGAAGTATTCGAGTTCAAAAGTAAAGTTGTTTAAATTGACGAAAGAGCTAAACGAGGGGAATTTCAAAATTGCACAGATTCTTTTGCTGGCTGGTTATCTCCAAAGGTAAGCTGAACAGTACCATGCAAGCTCCTCTTCACTTGGCTGCTATCTCAATTTGATTGCACTTTCAATGTGTTGCTCTTGTATTAATATGTCACGAATGCTGCCTTTTGCCTTCTTCTTTTCTCCACTTCAAATTATCTCAAATAGTTGATGCTCCGTAATTTACTCTTTTGCAGCTAACAATTAAAGACTCCAGATGCCACCGAACAGCAGTAACAAGAGCGAGAAAGTAAGTATCACGTCTCCTTGCATTTCATTTCTAACACACGCTAGGGGGCGTTTGGTGGACAGTGCATGCATATGTGGATGTTGGGAAAAGTGAGATGTAAGGTGGAAGATGGATATTGAGATGCCATGGACTCAACACCATGAGTAGTTGCATTATTTCGTTTGTGAGGTAGCATTTTGCGTCAACAGTCAATTCAGTATTTCACATGAAAATGTTCCAGATACCTTCCAGGTCGATAGGGAATGCGAATTGGTGGATATTGATCGCACACCATTTGATATGTGCAGTTGCCACAGATAACCCGTGCAATTTGAGTGGGACAGCATTTAGACTGCAACTCAGGTGCCAAGATGTGTCTAGAAATAGCTAACGACAGCCACTACGAATGAGGCGCACGCCATCCATCTGCGTCGAGAATTTGCAATTGCTCCACGTGTGGGGAAATGGTGATAAGTGGTGAAGGATAAGCTTGTTATTAATTTACTCCATTACACAGTCGGACATGTACTAATGCCAAGAGCAACAATTTCTAATGATGCTCTCCTCTTCAGAGTGAAGTCGTAAAAGAAGACTGCAGGAACGAATGCGTGAAATGAAGTCGAATGTGCGTTTTCACCCACTTCTTATCTCCACTTCAATTCATCCATTTTAGACGGCATTAGTCAAAAATTTGGGCCTATTCTTGCAGGACCAGTATCCGGGCTCAAAGTTGGTCCTGTTCGACCTTTATGCGCAGTGACCATTTATGTCACTTGAATTTAGGCAAAAGATGGGAAGGAGCCTTCTGCAATTGCACAACAGCCTTCAGCTCTATGAGTTGACTGATGTGTACGAGGACTTTGTCAGAAGAATTCAGCTTTCTGACAGAACAATTTCAATTAAGGTAAGTAGAGTGGGTCAATTGTTTCATCACGTCGAACTGATCCGCTATAAAATACTTTCTAATCACACACAGAGTGTAACTGAGCTTGTGATCTGTTTGGTTCTAATAGTACTATTATCTTCACGTTAATTTCGTACTCTAGTACAATAGCTTCTCCGATGAAGTCATGTCATTGTGTTCATCTGTCCCCTTCACTGGACAGATGTGTGGACTGACAATGTAGGTTTTCCTCAAAGTACCTCATGGTGCTGCTGCTAGACTTGAATCACATATAGTCAGTCAGCCAGTCACCATGTCAGGCATCCATTGAGTCGTGACAGGGTGGAGTAGAGTTATAAGTGGAAGGACAGAGCTTGAGTCGTCACAAATACGCTAGTAACTAAGCGAATATGTGACATAAAGTCGAATGAGCGCTGTCACCTACTTCTTATCCCCTCTTCATTTCATCAATTTTAGAAGGGGTTTGTGAGAGATTTGAAGCGCTTCTTGTGGAGCAGTAACCGTGTTCAAAGTTGGAGTTGATTGGATCCTCGGCAAGCGGCTTCGCAATAGAATCCAGTGATCTGGTTCTCGCCGTGGTGTTTGCCAAAGGCAGCCGAGAGGCAGACACTTGGAAGAGCGGTTCTAAAGATGACCAAATTAAGGCATGTCCACTCTGCCAATGCTTCTCCTCTCTACGCGTAATACATCTATCCACCCACCAAACCACCCACCCTCTCTCACTCACCCACTCACTTGCCTTCTTCTCCATCAAGTTGCTCTCCGAAATCACCTCAATGCAGGTTAGAAATAAGCAGAAGGTGAACATTGGGGACATTGAATCAGTTCTTTATGCGAAGGTGAGAATCGTGAAGTTCTAAACCTACAAGCACACCTTCGCAGTCGACTTGAGTTCTCCAACCATTTAGTGCGTTAAATGTCAAAATCTAGGAAAGAGCAGAGTCATCTGTGTACTCAGTCGCATTATCTCTCCTAGCCTTACTTTATTCTACCTTACCTCTTCTTACCTCTCCTTACCTCACCTCACCCATTGCATTTGTACCAAGCCACTTCAAAATAATGCTTTGCTCAGTGAGTATACCAAGTATGTGCCCCTGCTAGTGAGTGTGGTTGTGATTCTGAAGAAAATCATGTTGGTAAAATGTGTCGTTTTGTTTATGCGAGGCATGGGCTATGAGGAATGAGAATGGTAAACATGCCTTTTCTCTTCTAGGAAAGTGAAAACTTGCCCTCGCGTTTGGGTGGACTTTCTTACTATGCCAAATCGATCATGATGATATTCTACCTCAAACAGAAAGGATACCTGCCCTGCTTCCAGACAGTAAGAGCCATTGAAACTGACCACAAACTTCTTGCCCATCCACCTATTCACAAATCTATTCAAAAAATCACCCACCCACCGATCTGTCAATCTATGCAACTAATTTGAAAGGGCGTCTTTTAACAATCGTCTTTCCACTTGTAGCCCTATGTTGGCGATACAAAGCCGATTATTCGCGAAGGCGGTGACTGCAACGTTTGGTTTCAGACTGACAGGGATGTTGACGTTTGTCATCATTCCTCCTAAAACAGCTTTCCATTCGCAACCAATACTCATTCCACCACCACCCATACCACCATTTTTGCTTACTTACTTAATTACTTACTACCTGCTTATTTGCTTAGTTTGAAGAGCATGTGGAAAGCCCCCACTGATAGGAAGACAGTTGCACACCTGTGGTTGGGCTTCATGCGTTTCTACCTCTACGAGTTCGATTAATTCAAATACAAAGTCGCCATTGTTTCATTGAACCTCGCGGAGAACACCAGCACCATCAAATGCCTAATTATAATGGGTAAGACTTGGGGTGAAATGGGCAAAAAATTTGTGTCTGGGAGTTTTCTCTTTTCAAATCTTGCCTTGCACACCCTTTCGATACTTCCCACAATTTGATGAAGAACACCACACCAACGAGTACCTCTTTATTTACTTCCCCAACCACTGGCCGACTAAACAATCGCCCACTCATCCACTCCTACTCCGCCTTCACATCTCTCAGTTCCTCCTCCCTCCCTCCCCCCTCCATTACTCCATCACTCTATCCCTCCATCCCATATCCCCTCCCATCATAAAACCAATAGCGATATCTAACTACTCACCTATCTCTCAATTTTTCCATTTCTCTTCCTCTCCTTCTTTCAAGTTTGACTCAAAATGATGCTCACCTTCTAAAATGCCCTTGAGCACCACTTGGAGCATAGAAAACGACCAACCACTGATCTTCAGCGTTGGAAGGAGTGAATTAGGCAACTGTCTTCCACTCCATTGCTCTTCCATTTCATTTTCCATCACTCACTTCCTATTTCATATTTGAGATATCTCTTTCTATCACCCAAGCTAAGCAACCATCGTGGTTATTTTTAGTACATGTAAATGGAAGACTAGAGGTTTTAAACACTCCACCTCTAGCAGTCTGTCTGCCGCCTCTGCGTGTCTCTCCATCCTTCCACACCCATTGACAAGGTTACCACTGAACGGCACTCGGAAGCCACCTCCAACTCCGGAAGAACTGGGGAGTGGTGTGCAAAGAAGATTTCTTGCCACATCGTACAAGATATCGCCAAAATCTGACTTGTGAGGAATGTATTCATCCCCCAACTGAATCATCTCCTCACCGAGCTCCCAGCCTCAATCACAGTCAGGAGAGGTCATCACATGGCAATTGCCAGTCACATGGCACATGAAATTCATTTTGTCACACGCAAGCATTCAATTAATAAATTAATTTGAAAATAAATGAATGAATAACTAAGGAAATATATCATTCATGTTTAAATGAGTTTACATTTTGGCGAATTTGAAAAGCAATTCCATTCATTTGCACTGCACAGTCCGCATTGCCTTCTAGGTTCTGGTAAAGGCGGATTGCTTTTGAAAAAAATTTAAAACACATCAGACAACTCATAGAGGTGTAGACCGTTGTGCACTTGCCCAACTCCTCTCTATTCCCACGTGACAGCATTGACCACTTCACATCACAATCCTACACACCACCTTCCACGGCCTCACGCTGACGCACAGACAGCAATTTCCTCCAGTTCAAACAGCATTCATCAAAAGGATGACCAATGAAATTCTGAATCAGCCGAGCTTCCAGGAAAGTATCGATGCTCAGCCCACATCCATGGCAATAAAGGCAATGAGCTTGCTGAAACACTTGCTTAGAAGGGGACAACGATTTTGCAATGCATAGAGCGCCTGAAGGCCTTAATCAGGAGAGAATTCCAGACCTCAAGGTGCAACGAACTTAAAGCTCGAACAAAGGAGAAACAGTGGACAGTGGGCAACGAAATTAAAGCTCGAACAAAGGAGAAACACAGTTGGCACTCTCCGATATAACCGACTGGCCAGGAATCGAAGCCGTTGCCGACTGGCCAAGAATCGAAGCCGTTGCTGAGTCTTAGACTTTGGCCAAGAATCGAAGCCGTTGCTGAGTTTAGACTACGTACCGGACGGATTGCCTGGCAAAACACCTTCAAAGATTGGGAGTATACAGTCAAGGTGCAACGAACTTAAAGCTCGAACAAAGGAGAATCCGACTGGCCAAGAATCGAAGCCCTTGCTGAGTTTAGATTACGCCCCGGATACGACTGCTTGGCAAAACATCTTCACAGATTGGGAGCATACACTCAACCCACGTGCCTCCTATGTAACCTACAGGAGGAAATGGAGAAGACCCACCTGATTCTCTACAGGAGAAAATGGAGAAGACCCACCTGATTCGGTGTTCAAAGGAGGAAATGGAGAAGACCCACCTGATTCGGTGTCTAGCGGAGGAAATGGTGATGACCCACCTGATTCGGTGTCCAGCTCTAAAGACAACGGGACGGAGAAGACCCACCTGATTCGGTGTCCAGCCCTAGAGACAAGAAACCCACATGCCCCCTATGTAACCTACAGGAGGAAATGGACACCTGATTCGGTGTCCAGCTCTAAAGACAAGGACGGAAAGCCAGAGACACTGGGAAGCAAGAAGACAGCTAATGAACTTCAATTTATAAACTGCTATATTGGTACCCCCACCATTGGGGAAGCTGAAGTCAAAGTTTATGGGCTAATGATAATATCATAAAGCCTGCCATTTGAAATAATAGTATTTAAATTAAATTTATCCATATGACAGATTACTTCATTTCTCCATCACTCTATCACTCCATCCCATACCCCCTCCCAACATAAAGCCAATAGCGA